ATGTGCTGAGAGAGAAACTCCACAGGAGAACAGAGGTGTCATTTAGAGTTATGGCTCATTTGCATGTCTACGTCTAGATTACATTTCCCTCACTCAGTTGCAGATGCAGTTGTATCACACCTATATCATACGGTTTTCTACACATTTTCAGAATAGAGTCAAATACTTGTACTGTATTTTACATTCAGAAAAAATGACAGGACTTGAATATGATGATTAACTTTGCTAGGAGACACACTGAGGCATTATTTCCTGGGTGATTTGTCCCCATGTTCAGGGCTGAAAACTAATAAAGTACATATTCAAGAGTTATAGCCTGCAATTCTTGAGGAATTTTACTGAAGTATTACCATGTCACGTGAATTTATACTTCTGCTCCCCTACATTTTAGAGGGAAATGTTGTACTTTTCATTCCACCACATTGAACAGGCATCAAATTAGTGGTTACTTTGCTATTTTTACATATAAAACGTATAATTAACCCATAACCCAGATGCAATACTATAAATTATAGGGCCTGACAGTATATAAAGTGGTTCAATTTTATAACACTTCAGTCAGCTTCAAGATTAAAATGCTGGAAAAAATGCTTCAGTTGATGGTCATAATCCAACAATATAAACCATACCTAGGCTACAATTTAGAGGTATTTCAATCAGGAGAGACACGTTTTTATGTTAAAAGAATATTTATTAACATGTGAACAAATGAATAAGAATGTGGAAAGATTAGACCCCGTAGAGATGGTTTGATTTAAGGAGAGTGATGAATCCATAGTGGAATAGGGAACCCCCCTCCCAGTAGCATCCTGATTGGCTGATAGAGATTGTGGCAAAGTGTGATTGGATAACTAGAGGAGTGAACACCCATAGTCAGCTGATTAGAGGGAGTAGTGGAGAGTGGTATGGAGAAAATGTGAAAGGTCTTCCTGATTGAACTTTCGCTGAGCTTCATTTGTACCTTACTTGAATATTTCCATTTTATGCTACTTTATACTTTAGTTCATTGTGTCACAGAGGAAAATACTGCTTTTTTACTTTACTGCATTCATATATTATTTATTTACACATATTTTAGAGAGATTTAAACATATTAATTTATAAAATCCAAAGCGCTGTTGTAGATTAAATGTCCTAACAGTATATGATGTCACAAACTGGCTCAAAAATGTGACAATGAAGGAGTCCACGCAAGAGATTCACTTCAAATAAATGTCATTTATTCAAACTAAGTGTAAACACAAACAGACAAAGATAGATAGTGTGGGAATGTATGGATGTGTGCTGTGGAAGTGCTGATGTTGCAAACTAATAGAAGACACTGTAGATGGGTGTCAGCTTTAGGAGGAGGGGCTTCACAGTAAAGTGACTTGCTTCAACCAGCTACATAAACTGCTGCTTACAGTACCCATGGATGCTTCGGTATTAACTAATGTAATATGTGATAATATATCATTCGCAGGGGGCTTTTTCTGCAGAATAGGTTCTTTTAATTTGCTTGTAATACTTCTATATTTTGATTTTGAATGCAGGACTTTTACTTGTAATGGAGTATTTTTCTACCTTTACATACAGTCAAGGAATGCTCCACCTATTTAGCATCAGACTCCTACAACAATGTATAAGGATGGCAGTTAAATTCGATGCTGCAGAACTGTAGATATTGCTTTTTCTTATTTCACACATTCTGCCTCCTTGTTAAAACTTGGCCCCTACTTTACCCACAATGCAACTCAGTCACCAACAGTTCCATCATCAGTTTGGGTGTATTATGCTTGTATTGACTAATGTAGCCCCCAGGCGATAGGCTCAAGCTGAGATGAGGAGTGGCCTGCAGAAGTCTGGTAAAGTAAATTCTTTCCACACCACACACCCACTTCTTTTTTTCATTTTGAAACTTCTTGTACCCAAGTGACAAAAGACTTTATACAAAGTTCCCCTATAACTCAAGGCTCTCAATTCTTTTTCACCACTGCCTGTGTATGTCCTGTGAATGACAGTGAATGCAGCACAAGTAATGCATGGGCTAACATGAAAACTTTGGTTCAGAGAAAGTTCACATAATTTTTTAAAAATGCTAATTGAGTTATATTGTTTAGGATCATTTTTTGTCTTTCATGCTGCACATTAACATACTGCAGCAGATGGCTTCCTTATACAGACGTAATGTAGACCAGAGTGAGATAAATAGTTTGCACAGACTATTTTTCTTTATTTTTTACAGATGCAGTTAGCATCTTTTGGCCCTCAGAAAAAGAAGTGAATTGTTAATCCTGCTATCAGTTTGCCTTGTCACCCATTTGTAACTTTAAGAAAAGCTTTGAGCCTGATGTCGAAGTAGCCAGTGTTCACAATAAAAGGCTGTGTAACATCTGATAATGTATTAATTTTCTGAAAATGTAGCCTAATAACATTTGCACTTAACTTGATTGAAAATATAATAAAACCTAATGATGTAATAAAGTCCTGTGTATTTGCAATAACATTTTTGCCAGTAATGTGATACTGTTTCACGTGGGTCTCTTTTTTGTGTGTTTGTTTTGTTTTTTGTAACAATTTTGATGAAAAATGTACCCGGCTATTTTGCCTTAATTGCTCGCTTGTGTGACATTAGCCATCCTCTGCAGCTTTTGTCAACTTCCAATGATGCCTAATCAAAGATCCTCTCTGTTCTAAAGGACGATCCTTGCAGAACAACCAATCAGCAGGGGTATGATCAGGTTAATTGCCCATTGATAGGGACTTACATCTGTTGTAAACTTGAGTTGAGTTAACACATGAAATCAGTGTCAAATGTTAGCGTCTACAGAAAGGCTAACATGACACTAGCCATATTGTAAACTTGGTATATTTGCACACTTTAAATTTCTGAATTACAAAATCCATCAAACTTATTACATTATTAGTTTTGGAGAAAAAAAGACCATCTTGGAAGGTATTACATTACAGGTAAATATGTTGTTACAATATCAGCTGGGACATTCTATTACATTAATGAGTTATCTCACTTTTCGATCAGGGTAAGTGCAAATTTTATTACATTTTTTTCAGGAAATTATGACATTATTAGGTGCTGCAGTCCATTTTAGGAACACATTTATTCACATATAAAAAGCTGCATATTTTGTCTGTTAACCCATGTGTGCCAAGACCTACATAAGATGGACAGTGAAGGGATTTGTACACAGTGGGTTTAGGTTTTTGCAGACAGATGCTGCTGGCAGTTCAACAAAGAGTAGTTTCTGATGTATTGTTCTCCTCATCTTTCTAGATAAAAGTACTGATATTGGTTCAAAGAAAATGAAGCTGTGAGTACTGGCCAAGACACTACCATGAGGTGCAGAGCTGCTTCTGTGCTCTTTTTATCACTTACATACACAACTGTCTCTTATCAGCAGGACTGAAGCCTACTGCCCCTGCCAGAAGACATACATCAGTTGTCTGAACCTGCAGAGGACAGGTCACTCCAAGGAAGTGTCCTGGACGACCACATAAACATAATGTCACCAGTCTGAGTCTGTTAGGGACCTCTGTTGCATATCATCCCTCTCTGTTCCTCTGCCAACATTTCCTCTCTCTGCTGTCAAACTGTCAAAAGAAGGCAAACTGCCAAAAAAAAAAAAAAGTTAGAAGAGAATAAAGGTTAAAGATGGATGTGCATGAGAGTAAAGTCACCGTTGAGTACGGGTAACAATGAAAGTCAAACTAAAAGTGAAAATCCTCCAACCTTGCAAAGTCTGTCCATTTGTGAAACCCCACAAACTCTAATGTCACCTTCAGGAAGATACCAGAGCATTGTTCCTCTCAGCATGACAGCATTTTATTAGACAAATGATGACACACGTCACTGTTTAAAGGACAGTAGAATACATTCAGATCAGGTCGTCTATACAGTACAAAGATAGAGAGAGGTGTTGGAGAGGTGATGTATGACATCCAGGTGTGTTGGCCCAGTGGCCTCTTGTGTTTTTGTGCAACAATTCCTCTAGCTGACAAAACACTGTGGCCTTATTGTGTCGGAGTTATTGATCTACTCCTTGAAATCTTTGGTCATTCAGGACAGCCTTGATTCCTTCTTTTCTTTTCTTTTGTTAGGTCAATAGGAGCTGACTGTGGCTGATAGATCAGTAGTTTTGGCCTCAATGAGAAGTGAAAGGTCACAGAAAAAAAGTCACAGTTGAAATGACTGCTGGTTCTAGTCAAAATTATTCAATTTGGATTAGTGATTCTAGTGTAAACAGGCCTCTACACGATTATTGGTTTTGTGTCTTTTACATCATGTTTTTGCTCCATCAAAGCCTCTGGCCATCTGAGCCTCCATCAAACTGCATAATAGTCCATATGGTGCAGAGAAAGGTGTGCTGGGGGAGTCACTGGGGTGAGTGCAGCGGGTAAACACTTTAATACTGCATTTTGGCATCATGTAACTTCATACAAACACATTCCTGTCATGTCTCAAAACACTTCCTTAAATAAGATAAGGCGCTGAAATGACTGCATTTGAGTAGAACTATCTTGGATGCACCGTCTGTAAGGCTTCCCTCAGTTTTCATATTCAGTGGAAAGGCGGGCACTGGATACACGAGGTTTTTTTTAAGCAGCATAAGGTTCTTCCATCATCATCAAGGGAGTTTTTACAAACATGTTTTCTCTCTCTCCAAGTGGATGGACATGAGACACAGACGCTCCGAGTAAAGCCTTCAAGTGAACAACATCTTCAACTACACTGAACCAAATGAACACAGACTTCACTTGTCATGTAAATAAACACCTATACATCACTTTTTTTAAAACAGGACGACAACATCACATCTCGTATATGACGCAAAGCGACGGCAGGGTGGCCTGGTTGCTACAGAGACATGCGCCCTGCTGAAGTGTCCATGAGCAAGTCTCTGGCGCTGTTCAGTATTAGATCCTGACCTGTGGGCTCCCCGTGGAGAGGAGCTTCTGGGACAACGGAGCTGAATGAACGATGACATTATTATCAATACATCCAAATACGCACGGGGGGGGGGGGTGCACAGAGGAGTCAGTGTAATCCATTGGGTGTGAACGGTGACATCCTGTCAAGACTGATATCTGCCTGGCAGTCCTCTAAGTCACAAACCGAGTCGGTGGCGTTGTCATTATTGTGAGAAAACTGTGAAATCCTGTCAAAAGTCTCTTCATGCTCAATACATTCAACCACGTTGGGGATCATGTTGACATACGCGTTGGCGATTTCTTTGTGAATGAGGGTGTCTTGATTATATGAGACCAGCTCGTTGCTGATGTTGACAGTCTCCACCGGGGTGCTGGAGCAGAAGTTGCGACAGCCCAATAGGCTGGCGAAGGCCTTCCTGAACTCGGCGTTGAAGGCGTAAATGATGGGGTTCAGGGAGGAGTTGGTCCAGCCGAACCACACGAAGACGTCAAAAGTCGTCTCGCTGACGCACGGCAGACCCGCGTCCCGGTCTGTTGCCGGTCTGTCGCAGAACGGAACCATACAGTTGAGGACGAAGAAGGGTAACCAGCAACACACGAAGACACCCATGATCACCGAAAGAGTTTTGAACACTTTGGTTTCCCGTTTAATCGACGTTTTCAAGGTGTTGTGGTGTTGGCACTCTATTCTGTTTGTCCTGCAACTTTGCGCGTGCTCTGCCGCTCTCTCCAGGGAGGCTATTCTTCTAATTTGTATTTGTGCAATCCGGTATATTCTGGTGTAAGTCACAATCATAATCGCCACGGGGATATAGAAACTTATCAAAGAGGAGGAAATGGCATACTCTCTGCTCAGACTGGAGTCGCAGTTTTCCTCTATCTGTCGACTTGTGGAATAGTTGTGCGTCCCAGCCATGTCGTCACCGCTGGCTTTGTGCCAGTTGAGCTGGACCGGTATGAATGAAATGAGCACAGACAACGTCCAAGTGATGCTAATCATAACAAAGGCAACACGTTGGGTCATCTTCCTCTCGTAGCGGAAGGGACTCGAGATGGCCCAGTATCTATCCACGCTGATGATGCAGAGGTTGAGGATGGAGGCGGTGGAGCACATAATGTCAAACGCCACCCAGACGTTACAGAAAGTGCCAAACGGCCAGTACCCCGCCACCTCTGCCACAGCTTTCCAGGGCATCACCAGAACGGCCACAAATAAATCCGATAGAGCCAGGGAGACGATGAAAATGTTGGTGACTTTGGTCCGCAGGTGGCGAAAGCGCAGCACCGCGGAGCACACCAGGATGTTCCCAAGCAGGGTCCATAGAATGAGTAGGGACAGCAGACAGCCCGTCACAGTGCGCACCACCATGTCCTTCCTCCGGTCCTTAGTCGACTCCGTTTCGGTGCTGTTCCACATAATCTCTCCGAGGGGAGCCGGCACAGAGTCAATCCCCTGCACCGACGAGAGATACTTGGCTGGGTTCTCCATGTGGCTCTTTAAGTAAAACTGCAGTCCATTGCTCCGTGCGCGGGGACGGGCGCAGTTATCAGCCATTCACCGTATTGTCCCCACTGACCTGCTCGGCTGCCAGCATGATGTGGAGTGCAAAACAGAGGGAAATAGAGAGGTGAGCGCGCTAAAACTGAGCCGTGCGACGTGCCAGGTGCGCTGAGGGTCTGAAACGCAGCACGCAGTGGCGAGCGCATGTTGCAACCTTGCCGGTCGTCTGACCTGGCTACTTCTGTGAATCACTCAGTCCAAGGTATCCTGCGCGCGGTGTGGGCGAGGAGGGAGTCCTTACAGCCTGACGCGCACTAACCCAACCTGGGCTGGGCGCATAGAGCATCACGCCTCCTTTGCGCGTGGTGTTACGCCCAGCATGCGTTAAAACAGGGGTGTGAAGAAGCCCTAAACATTTTGAAGGACTCTAAAGTCCGTTATTACAAACCCTACATAAGTGGAGAGTTGCGCTCCAAGTATGGATTGTCTTCTCCATGCGCATTGTCTGTGTGTGGCAACACACAATACTGCAGTGACAGGAGTAACAATAGGGAGTGTTTCTGTGCAGGATCAAACTGTATGTGAAGTACATAAATAAAACTATTAATAAAAAGCTTCTGGGTGCATTTAAATATATTTTATGTGCAGTAAAGACTGCAGACACAGCCAACTAACACTGACGGAGCTGTCCATGGTGCTGAAAAAGCAAACGCATTCAAAGTCTCCTCAGCAAGCAGTGATCCCACACGCCTGTCTATCTATCTATCTATCTATCTATCTATCTATCTATCTATCTATCTATCTATCTATCTATCTATCTATCTATCTAAGCTCCTACATGATCTTAATGCTGCCTTGCCTTTTGTTTTTTACCGGCACCATAATCTGCTTTAGCCTCCCCTGTAGCTCAAAGTAGGACTCCAGTGCAAAGTAAAGCCACCACAGCCAATTTTAACACATGTTCAGTCTGATATGAAGAGCTCTCACTTTAGTCTTAATGACATTTTTATTTGACCTCAATAAAAAAGGTCTTTTTAAATATGGACAAATCAATCTTTATGTGACTATTACTAAATACTGGTGGTCGTTTGCCCTCTGATGACCTCCGTCTGGATGGAGGTCATACCACCCCCACTTTTCAGCGTTACCCCGACCAGGTGAGTCACATTCACACTCTGAGCAGACATGTGGAGCCACGAGCTCCGAGCGCGCTCCGTTCCGTCTGTGTGTCTGCAGCAGCAGCAACAGCAGCAACGCCGTTTCCGGCTTTGAAACGTCACGGGTATTTTTAGACGTGTCTGCGTGCCTGTCAAATCGTTGTGACACTACGTCAAAAATAATCCCCCCGACGCCCAATGCCAAATTCTCTGGAGTAACCTATAATCTCGGGATGTCAGGAGGCAACTTGTGCCCGGCGCAACGTTTAATTCTTCACATACAAACAAGATGTTACCACAGCTATGGAAGTGTTATGGTGGAGAAGTGAGATGCACATGGACATGTTGTCTGACCATGGCCTCAGAGAATAATGTCTGTCTAATACCGTTTATGTGGGATATTATTGCTGTATTTAAGAAAAATTACAGACTAATATGAATTATTGTGTGTCAATATTTATATTCTTGAAAGTTGCAGGAACATTAGAAATGCATTTTAAGTCAGAAGTATGTCCGTGGGTGTTTCTGTTAGTTATTATCCTGTATACTTGTGTTTTTTTCAACTAAATTTATCTGTGTCTTCATATATTTGATTAAGAGTTTCATGGGAAGCAGGCCCCTTAACGAAGAAGTGATGGCGCAATAATCTGCGCTGCTATAATGCAGGAGCTTCTGTCCCATCAAACTCCTGGAAAATATAAATACGTGGCGCCACCCTGTGGTGCAAATGTGCATTACAGCTGCTGCTTATTCAGAAATACAGTGAAAACTTAAAAACATTGAGCAGAGATCCTCAGTGTGAAGAAGAACAGATCAGAAATGTGCTGTATATGAAAAAAGAAAACTATTCTTTATTTCAGAAGGTATACATTCATCATTATTGTACACATAATTTCATGAGCACCATGTCATTAGAATTTCAAAATCGTATCACAGTGTCTGAATGATGATTTTGATCAGTACGACAGTTTTTTTTTTGTTTTTTTTTTGTTTTTTTTTTAACAAAGATTATATAATATTGCAGTTTGCACCTAAAAACAAACAAGGCTTTTACCACAAGTTGGCACATAGTGAGAAGACATGCAGCGGATAGCACCAGGTTGAGAACTTGCTGGACGTCTGACTGAAATGACACATTGATTTCATATTATATTGTACAGTACAAGTATACAGTCTGTTTACATGATAAAGAAACAAGTAATGTCACAGACTGGGCTGTTTTTTTATTGCTGATTTTTTCAGGTATAAACATGCAATCTCTAGTCTGGTGTCGCAGCTGTCATCACGGCAACATCTCTTTTATATTGGTGTATCTATGGGTGGATTATAGGACAGTGGGCCCCACCACCTCTCCTACATGGGGGCAGGACACAAACTTTGTGGTGGCTTTACCTCTTTTTAGTTGTTTTGTCTCTTTGTAATAATTTTGTTGATAGTCATTTTGTGTCTCTTTGAGGTCATTCTGTGTTACTTTTGTCATCTTTTTGTAATGATTTTGTTTCTTTTTTTTGGTCATTATGTGTCCCTTTGTGGTTGGGTTCCCCCTTTTGTATTTACTGTGCATCTCTTTGTGGTCATTTTGAGTCTCTTCCTGGCTGGTATATGTTATTTGAGTGACATTTTGTAGGTGAAGAGTAGCGGGGCCCTGACACGTCATGCCCTGGGGCCTGTGCCTAGTAGGCCTGTTCAGTAATCCATCTATGGGGGTAATAATCCTGGAGATACTGTGATAGAAGATTCACCACTCTTAAATTTTAGATACACCTAATGTGAACTGTGTTAAACCTTTTCATTACATGAATTCATTCTTATCAAGGTAAAGAAGAAAAACAAATTTTCAAATCTCACCTAGCACTTCTCAATATAGTGTGGATACAGATCACAGGACTCCAGTATAATCAAAACAATGCTACCTAGTAACATAATTTTAAACATACCATTCAACTTGAGAGAACAGAGAATCATTATACAAACAGACATTGATGAACCTTAAAAAATGACTGAGAGAGGCAGAGAACTATAGTCCAACTCATAATGATTATTCAAAAATATAGTGCTAAGATTGTCACTATCATTTAATTCAAGTGTTGCATACTGTTCATTTAACTTGAACTACTAACAGACGTGTATGAGAACCATATCCATATCCAGTATGAACATTTCACATGCAGATAAAATATGAGTCAAGTGGTACAGCAATGCACTTGTGGCTCTGTTGAATACAGTACTAATACCTTATTAGATGTTTGAGACAAACAGCTGTTTCAGTGGCTTACTGTAGTATTTTGTGAGAAATCTATCTTTTACTTTCAGCTACTAATAAAATATGAGTGTCAGATCCAGCATATACATTTTAAATGATGAACCAGTAAAGTAAACCTACTGAAATCTGACTACAGAACAAAAAGTACAAAGGGTCCTTTTTAAATGCGTGAAACCAAAGGTCCTTTTCATAAACATTTTTATTCAGCCTTGTATTATACAAGGTAATTCTTAAAGGAACGTTGGTTCATCTTCCTCTGTAATCCCCACAGTGAGGGATCTACAGTTTGTTTGTCTCCACAGCTTGTTTCAAGTCTGCTGGAGTGTGACCCAGACTGCCTCCTGAACAGCTGACCTGCACTGTGAGACACTCTCGGGAGCCGGTGGTGACAAGTATTCTTGTGCATGTCATCTGGCGTCGTCAGTCATCTGCTCCTCTGTCAGACCCGGCGGAACACCTCGAAGAGGGAGGCGACTGAGTGCATGCGGTAGAAAAGGTTCAAAGGAATGGCAAAATTGAGAACTGTGGTCCATATGCTAAAGCCAAATGTCTCCTGTTCCAACCCGTTGTCGTACTGTGGCCGGCAGCCAAAGGCAGGAAGGATCCACAGCTGAAAGAACAAATTATATTAATTTAGTTAAACCTGTAGTCATTTACCTTTTTGGCCACTAGGGGGCTGCACAACAGCCTTACCTCACAACACTGACATATTATCACCTACTGAATGTCTTAACAAAAAGTTGCCTGTTAACACATCTAGCAGAAGCAGTATTTCTAGGAACTTTCACTCTTTCTTAACTCTGCTTTGGCTTCCACCAGTTTTAAAGGGACAGTTCACCCTCCAAATCAAAAATACATATTTTTTTTACATTATTTTTTCCTCTTATCTGTAATTATAAATCTAGATTGTTGTGGCATGAGTTGCAGAGTGTATCAGAAATATTGGCCGTAAAGATGTCTGCCTTGTCTCAAATATAATAGAATTAGATGGCACTCAGCTTGCAGTGCTCCAAAGTGCCAAAAAAACAACCTTTGAAAATCTCAACAGCAATGTCTCTTTGCAGAAATCATGACCCAGTTACTCAAGATAATCCACAGACCTTGTTGTGAGCAGTTTCATGTATGAACTATTTTTCTCTCTACCGAACTACACCTGGCTCTACTGTGCAGAAGAAAATGTGCGCTTACTGCTAGCTCTCCTGGCACCATTGAGCTAGCCAACATCACAGCTCAGCCGAGCATTACTGTTTACATCTTGCGCTGTCACAAGCACGAGCCTCTTGCCCATGAGCAGATACATGCTTCCTTCTGGGCAGTGATACGCTTTGAAGGTGTAGTTTGGTAGAAAGAAAATAGTTCCTACATTAAACTGCTCAGTCTTTGTCTTCCTGCTGGGCAGTTAACATACAATTCTTTTTTTAGGACTTCTTTTCTAAAAACACCTGCCAACCATGTTAGAGTGGTGAAAGTGAAAACAAAAACAATGAGCTATGACAATGGAACAAACAATGAACAGCTCTATGTTCAATTATCAGGTTGCCAAATGCTTACCGAAATGTTGCACATTATCTGGAAGACAGTGATGTTCTTCAGGATTTGCCTTTTTCTATTCGGGGGCTCCTTTACATTGTTTCCCACAGGCAGCGGCACCTCAGAAGGTTTCCTCGGACATCTGTACACCCGCCCGCTCTCCTCCTGCTCGTTCTCCATGGTGGCACAGTTTCTGTCTGGAGTCTCGTAGGCTCGGTTGATGATGCCATTGAACGGTGGGGCCAAAGAGGATGTCACTGAGAAGATTTCTGGGGCAGCTGGTAACTCGGGGTCCTCCCTCTCTCCGTCCTCTTGCTGGCGATACAGGGACTCTACAATGAAGAGGTTTTGGATGTACTTCTCCAGCACAAGAAGCAGAGAGAAGATGAGGTTGGTCCAGCGGTAAGGAGGATTGCTTGTGGCACCTAATGCAGCCACTACGCTGCACCAGGACATGAGCCAGGAGCCAATAGAGGACCCAAACAGCAGTTCTGTGTCCAGCTGTCTCGACGGGTTCTTGGAGGTGTCCAGCGGCACGTGGTCCGCTCGGTATATGAGCAGACCTGAACCACCAGCAGAGCACATGAACACTAGCATGACAATGCCATAAATGTAGAACATGGAAATGGCTGACTGACGCATTCGGAGGGATTCCTCAACATGGGTAACATAGACCACCAGGATCCCAATAGTGCTGGCCAGTGCAAGTAGACCCAAAATGGGGCCCACAGTCAGGCCCTCGGTTTTGGTAGCTAGCCTCTTCCGGTTTGAGGAAAGGTCAATGGTCCGTCCGATGTTCTTCCACATGACGAAGAGCATGGCAGAGACAAAGATGTGGTACTCGACATTAAAGGGGTAGAGATAGAAGAGGCTGCTGGAGAACATGGAGCAAGTGCTGGTGGTGCAGTTACAGTGAGGCTCTGAGTGCACTGCAAAACAAATAAAAACAGATGCAAATTCATGAGAAATACAGATATTTTTGTGCTGCCTTTAATTAACACAGTTTGTCTGATCTTTTAAAACAACATTAACAAAACCACATCCATCACATAATAGTGCCAGAAAACCAAAAACATCAATATTAGAATAAGCATAAGTACAAAACAGAATAAATTAATAATGAATATTTAGTAGACTAACAATGATGCTTTAGTTCTCTTTTCGCCATCTTTTTCATTGGGGATAAAAAATAACTAAATCTTGGCTCAAACCACTACCAATGGTAATAATAATATAGTAATAATTTTTGTTTGTTTAACAAACTATGAATAATTCTTTCTTTTCTATCTCCTGCCAAAGAAGCTTTGCATAATTCAAATGTGAATAAACATTTTGTTCAAAAAAAGTTGCTTCTATACTGTAGCATCTGTTCAGTGACAGCTTGTTCACTGAGTGATGGCTGCTAACACAAAACTGTTTTTATTGTACTTTGCTCAACATCCTGGGACCGTAAACCTCTGTTGAGAAGGAAGAGGCTGTGACATTCACTGTGCAAAGGGCCTGAGTCATCATTTAAAATCAAGCCTGTTATTCACTGTAGCTGTCTGGTGCACAGGGAGACTGGGTCAAGCTGTGACTCACCAATCAGCCGACTTTAACAATTTGACTCAGAGAGTTTCTGTTCTTTAAAGAGAGGCTTCCAAACCATGACACCAAAGAAAATGATAAGATTGCTTAAATTATCAATGAGGAAATAGAACAGTTTCCTTGCACAAAACAAACGTTGAGGCCCCTTTTTGCACACGCCCTCACAAGACATCCCCAGACATCTGTAAGACTGCACACACTCCATTGTCTGACTCTTAGTGAATGTGACTTCCTGTGTGTCGGAATCTCTTCAAAAATCAATTATCATATCTTTGGTTTTAGATATGATTAACTGAAGATAGGACTTTGCCCACCACCTGTTGTCAATGACTGGTTCGCGGCCAGTCTTATTGGTCTGGAGCCTGCTAACATTAACAGAGTCCTCTGCATACATTAGGATGTCAAAGGTTTGTTGACATCCTTCTGGTTCAGTACAATCTTTTTTTCACAGTTATGTTCTGTCTGCCCTGGGATCTGCCTTAGAGAGAGCATCAGAAGCTTACACATCCATACACTGTGTAATGTATAGTTTCCCTGCCTTTCTGGCTTTTAACAAAGCACTGTATACTTGTCAGTGAATACTGTATATTTTACAAGTTGTGGCCAGTTCAACCACAAAGTGACTGTTTTCCCTAGTAGTGTCTGCATAATTTTCAGAGGCAAGTTTAAATTATCAGCAATTCACAAGAGAAAAAGAGAAAAAATGATATTAGGTCTGAACATTTTGGAAAAGTATCTAACTGTGACTATTTTCTCTGATATTGTAATTGGGAGACGATTTACAATATTAGAGGTGATGATCATTTTACATTATTCTCATTTCAATGAAAAACATATTAAAATGATTATGGTGTGGTTTTTGCAGGGATCATGCCAAACATCTATTTGTTTTGGTCTGTAAGACATTTCGGCAGCATGACAATTCAATTTAAAATGGTATTTTGACACACATTTTCCATTTTAAATATATTGTGCCTGCTGCAATTTGAAAATGGCAGAAGGTCATATTGTGATTCTGATAAAATTATGATTATTTGTTCAACCCTGGATAAAATGATGGTCTGACAAAAAATAAACACAATCTTGCATATCGCACCAATAGCCTTCTATCCCCTCAGATCCATTGTGGGTCACTGCTGTGGTGGCAATGCTGTGGCGCTCTACACAAATACCACCCTAATAACTTGGATCACTACAACAATGAAGCCACAGAGCATTGTATGTATCTCTAAGCTCATGCTAAATTCAAAGCAAAATAAGGTCCTTTAGGTCTAGTGTGAAGGATTTAGTGACATCTAGTGGTGAGGCTGCAAAACTAAAACTTCTCCTGTGTGCCAAGCATGTTGGAGAACTAAAATGGGCAGTATGGTAACACAAATGGCCCTATCTTGAGTCAGTGTTTAGTTTGTTTGTTTTAGGCTACTGTAGAAACATGGTGGACTCCATGGTAGTGGACCTGCTCAATATGTAGATATAAATGGCTCATTGTAAGGTAACAAAAACACAGCCATTGTTATTTCAGGTGATTGTAAACTAATGAAAACATAGTTATGAATATTATATACCACTTCTGCCAGTAGATGCCCCTAATCCTACACACTGGTCCCTTAAGTTGCTTCTTTTAAGATTATTAATGGTATTTATGGTTTGCAGGCTGGCCCTTTGTAGCCACTTCTTGACTGAATGTTTTTGTTGCATTTAGATTTGTGATGAAACTTAAACTTGAAATAACTGTAAAAGACAGTATTTTAGTTTTTACTGTACTGTGACTTTAAATACTTTTGATGGTAGTGGCCTATAAAATTAGAGTTTCAATCATGTTTGTTTTTTAAAACAAGTATGGACTATCTCTTACAAAGCTCCATTTTAAAATCCTACCGTACCTCTTGATGGTCAATATTCATTAACCATGTTCTGCTGATGTTACTTGGAAATTTCAGTCACCAGCTGAATGTCTGAGCATCTCAGATGGTGATGACAATCCACTTTTTATACTAACTCACTCCTTGTCAAGCCCGCCGCAGCACCCTATGGTAATACTGAAGCTCTCTAGAGATCATATAAACAAAACCCTGCCGTGTGCCCCCTCATCCCCTCCTACCACAAACCCCCCCAAAAGGCCACCACTACGGTACTGCAGCCTTTAATTAAAAAAGGAACAACAGTCAGGGTGCAGCCAGCCTCATAGTCAGCCGGATATGAGGAGGAGCAGTCGAACCCCCCAACCCTAGGCTTAGATGTATCAGTTACTGTAATTGCAGCACCCTTGGGAGTAAGCAGCCTGAGGACAAAGCCGTCTGAGGTCAAGCGGGGGGTTGCCAAGGAGGGTGGTGGTGGCTGAAGTGTGGGGAAAGGGCATGGGAGGGGGCCTCAGCACTAGCAACGCTATGTGTCTCCTGAAACCTAATAGAGAGACGTTCGACACAAACAAGACCCACTGGGCTGCCGAGCTAACCTCCCTTCCCCTCACAAACCCTCCTCTCCTTTCTTTTTCTTTCATCCATTGAAGTGAGCTCTCAAGTGGACTATTGTACTTGTCTTCTAGGTACAAGCCAGCAATCAACCCCTTGGCCCTTACCTATGGTGAGGTTTCCGTAGCCCAGGGCAGTGAGTCTTCTCTTATGGTTGTTCAAGAAGTGCTCGGCCTCTGACATCACGCCGTTGCACCACAGGAGGAGGTTGGTAAAGACTGCATGCATTACACCAAATCTGAAGAGACAAACAGTTGAAAATGAGCAGTCAATCTAACAGCATGTGGCGGTGTTATGATGCAGGCTGTCATCATCCATATGTAGTCCCTGGTGAGATGTTTCATGATTGTGACAGCGACTAAAGTCTTGTTAAATTATAATATGAGATATTTGACATACCTCTCAAATGTTTCAAAGCTCTTGATGACATCCTTAATGTGAAACCAGAGAAAATGTACCTAAACAAAACACCAAGACACAAATAATAATAATGGTTAAAATAAATCCTTAATTCATGCAGTTGTATGTGAAAACATTGTGGTTCTATAACACCCTAAAATTAATGTTTATATAAATGTAGTCTGGCGGGTTTGGTGATGGTGAATGCAGGGCTGTTTCTAGGTAAACAAAAGGGATATTGCTCTTTAACAAAAAGGTCTGTCTCTGTAGGGATCCTTTCCATGATGTTGTCAAACACTTATAACAACAATCTGAGCCTGTCAGTAGCAAAAATTAGAACTTTTAATGGCCGTATATTGATGGTGCACAATTTCCAAATTTTACATTGCAGTCTGTTTCAATACTGGATCAATTTCAAAAACTGTTGCTCCAATTAGTCACTTAGACACAAAGACATGGGAAAATACTGTCCAGGTTAAAAAAAAAAATACATGTTACCCTTTAAACATATTTTATAGACAGCAAAATGACTTCAGAATTATATAAGTCCATTTACCAGAAGGATTTCCCTTGTCAGTTACACTCCAGTAACATGGACAATGACAGGATTATATTGTTGCAGCAACTCTGTACTGGCCTCAACACAACAAAGAGCACATTATTCAAAGACCAACCCGGTTAAGTGGTGCGCAGAAAAAAAGACACAGTGTCTAACACTGCTGAAAGATTATCACTTTATTGAAATGAAAGTGGGGTTGTAAACTTACCTGTGCTATGGTGTGAGTTGCATGGATGACAGGATATACCCCGAGCACAGCCGACACACAAGACTGATAGCCAACATAATACCCAATTCGGAAAGCGTCCATGATCAGTGAAAGGAGTGCAAGGAGAGTCAAACCACCTACCGAGAAAAAGAAAAAAAAGGTTATTAGTGGCACACTTTGATTGTATGGCAAAACTATTCATTTTTCAGGTTTGCTTTAAGCTGTCAAACACAATCCACATAGCCTATGTAATCTTCAAATACATGGAAAAGGAAAACATCAGTTTGCTATTTTACGCATTTACTGCTGTGATCCTGTGCGTAATCTTACGAGCTGACCTCTTATCCAGCATGTGGTGGCGTGGACATCTTTCTCGGTGAGCGTGCTCTTCTGTCTGTCCCGCACCAGGATGTACCACATCATCCAGATCAGCTGGAGGATCATGAGGCAGCTGACAAAGGACAGCAGGTGCTCTTCCTTGACAGAGGGGCCGTGGTGCGCGATAGCCAGCATCAGCGCCATCCCGATCAGCAGCAGATTGGTCCCGTACTGCCCGCTGAGGAACTCTGCATTCTTCCTCGGGTACTCCCCTGACAGACGGAGTTTTAGTTTGGTGAACATCTTCTTGTCCTGCTCGGAGCTGGACGACGAGGACGAACTGTGACAGTACTTATTCAGACACATGATATCCAGGCCGCTGTGCTCCACCATGGTGAGAGACATGTAGAAATATCAGAAAGAAGAAGAGTAAAGTCAAAGCCGCGCGCTATAAGAGCATCTGAGGGAGGCCAGGTGCCTAACCTGTTGCTACAAGGTGGGGATTCAGACGAATAGGTACCGTGCCAAACATGCTCATTCAATCTTCAAGGTCCGGCTCAGTGGTCACGCATAGTTTAAAAGTCCAGCCTCGCCGAGGATGGACTTGATAGATGCATTGTCATCTTGTAACCCTGAAACTGAAAGATCTGGTCGTGCAACAGGCGCGCTGAGTCACTGAAAATGGTAGATTACGTTTCAGTCTTTGGTGATCCCAGACCCCCGTCCTCTTGAGACTCCCATATGTTTCAGAGAAATCACTGGGCTTGCCGTGCCAACCATTCACTGCCCAAAGAAGCAAAAAAAAAAAAAACACTAAGCACGGAATTATCCACAATAACAGGGGGAAAAAACGAGCTTCGCCCAAATCCACCTCTTCCGAGCAGCTGGCAGGCAGTCTCTCCAAGTCTGCTTAAATCCTCTCAGGGTGGCTATCGGGTGTTAAGCATATGAGATGAAAAGGAAGACGGCATTTCACAAACCTGTGAGTTTTACAGGCTGGAGGCACGTGATGTGTCCTGACAGCGCTTCAGCGCAACAATGCAGGTTTGCATACAGAGCGTTAACCTATCGCAAAGAGTACGGAACAATGGCGTCACGAAGATCGCAGAGATGATCACACTTTGTTTCAATAGGACATCAGAGGCAGGATATCGACTTTTTAATCACTGAGTATCAGCCCGACACAGAAAAAGAGTTGCCCAAGATCTGTTCATTAACAGGGCGTTTAATGGGCCATTGACTCAGTCTGGACATTTTGATTTAATCTGTAAGTGTTTGCATTAGCGCGTTTTATTTATGTCATGGTATCATTACCATTTTAGGTAAATATATGAATATTTCAGCCACCACTGGCCATAAGTACACTGGTGAATGTTGAAAATCTTTTACCAACACCATGGAGAAATTAGAACTTAGTGACAAAAAGGGCTTTAATGTCAGTAAATAGGGTTCCCAAAGTTCAGATAATAATATTATTAGGGTTGCAACAGTATACCAGTTACAAGGTATACAGTGATATTAAAATTGGTAACGGTTATCTGTGTACATTTGGTCACTAGTTCAAGTCCCCATCCAGACCTAATATGGAGTGTGGACTGGTAGCTAGAGAGGGGCTCTTAAGCAAGGTACCAAGCCCCCAACTGCTCAGGGCGCCTGTCCATTGGCAGCCCCCTCACATCTCTCCATTTAATGCCAATATAGGTCTTGTTTGTGCATGTGTGTGTATTTCAGGCTTGTGTGTGTATATGACAACAGAATGAAAAAAATGAATTTACCCTTGGGGATTACTTAAGTAGATCTTCTTTTTCTTCTTCTTTTTCTTTATTTTAGTTAGAGAGAGTTAGGGAGACTTTTTACACATACTTTCATTACAAAAATGTTTCAAGCTTTAATTACATTGATAAAACGTTTAACCAAAATAACCTTTTTGTTTTAATGCCTTTAAGGGTCATGCTGACTGATAATAACTTTTTTTGTAATACTGATACCGTGAAACCACAATAATTTCTGAGATGGTTATTGTACCATTAAAATCTCCTACCATTGCAACCCTAAGTATTATAATGAGCAAAGTTGCTTGACCTCTAATTTTTTTCAAATTTTTCTGATTGAATTTTTATATAACTCACCCATTCACATTTTATTACTGCTTTAAGTTATGTATAATTAAGTGCGGGCTGCTTTGAGTGACAGGCTGATAGTGTCCTCAGGCAGCCTCTCACCCAAATATGGTCACTTACATGATGGCAATGCCGAAATGCCAAACTCCAGACTTCAAAATGGGAGTCCACAAACCAACGGGTGACATCATGGTAGCCATGCCCATTTATTTTATAGTCTATGGATTTGTCAAGCAATAACAACAATTTGCGTGAGCACTAAAATAAGTTATAAAAGTTTATTAAAGAAAAAAACATTTTACAGAATATAAGTCTTCACATTCTTCACCACAAACTGAGAAAAATCAAAATAATTAAAAAAAAAATGTTGGCTTTATCATCAGTTAGAAATGGTGACACACTTGTTCCTCCATTGCTTACAGGCATTTTTCTACATAAAAAATATGGACATTTTAACACGTGACTGTAGGAAAAGCACAGGTGTAATTAAAAAGAAAAAACAATGGCTGAATGGCATTTAGCTGCTTTAGTTTCAGGGTCCTGGTAATGTAAATTGTGGCTCACAGTCTTAGTTTACTGAAACATACTTAAACACAAGAGAACATCATTAATACAATTAACACCTGTTATAAATGAACATCTTCTACTGCAACAAGCCAAAATGTCTGCTGTGATAAAAGATATATTCTCAAAACATTCATCACATTCATAAGTGCTGTTTACCAAATAGTCAACGCAACAAATCACATTTTTGATACAGTTGCTATGGTTTCTTAAGCAAAACAAATCATAAATTGAGCAGCTGTGTTGGTTCAGTAGAAACATCCACAGATGGGACAAAACAAAGGAAAAACCTGATACAAGATGGAAACATGTCAAATGCAGATGCTTCTGTGCACGAGGGTTCACTAAATGGTTTGTTGAAATATGAAAATGGCGTGACTAAAATGCTATGGCCTTTGCAGTCACCAGATTTTAACCCAGTTGAACACCTATGGAAGATTTTGGACCCACATGTAAGACAATGCTCTTCGCCATCATCTCCATTAGACCAAACAATATAAAGTTTATCTTCAAATCTATTTAGTGATGTCTGTGATTTTCTGAAGTTATATGTCCTTTTTTTAATGTTCAACTATGTTTATTTTTCGTTGTATTTGCTGTGCTCAGGTCCCTCTTGCCAGACAGATGAGATTCCCTGACTAAATAAAGGTTGTGTATATAAATAAGGGAATACCGTCTGGAAGAATGGAATGGAGGAATGATTAGCAAGGAGCACTAAGGCTGACTCCACACTAAGACACTTCATGCTTTTCCTTTAATTTGTCACCCATCTGTAGAACAATCTGCTGTAGGTCTACAGTGTCAGTGTGTGTTAGGTGTGAGAGACAGAGAGTGTAGAGAAAGGCAGGGGCAGAGGAGCATAAGCAATGTGGCAGATGGGAAGGGAAAACACTTTCACCATAATGATGTAACATCGTGTAATAACGCAACATGTCCCGTCACAGTTTACAAAAATCTCACATCGGCACAAAAATAAGTCCAAGTAACTGTGATACTGGTCAGTTTTATGTGTGTTGCATAAATGACATTTATAGGTTTAATGTATTGTGATAGTGTATGTTTTCTGTGAGTCTTTACTATATGCAGTGAACACTTGACTTTGAGGTAAATGAAGAACAGCTTGAGTTAATCTATGTGGATGAGCCAGGCTTCTGAGGAGGTGAAGGGAAGGGATGTGGTTGGACATTGTGCCACCATTACGGTAACTTGACAGTGTACTTACTTAGCCTAGATCTTATAATTTCTGCTGTGTGTTTATTATTTACAGTATTTTCTGCATTTACAGTATTTTCTTTCATAATCTTGTAACGCTACATTGTGAATGTGCTGCGCTATATATGCAGTGAGTACGTTATGAGTGAACCTTACTTTCAAAAGACAAATGCTGCTGACTTTGAAGGAGTTTTAAAGAGACGGTTCACCACCAAATCAAAATGACATATTTTTCCTCTTACCTGTAGTGCCATTTATCAATTTAAATTGTTTTGGTGCGAGTTGTGTTGGCGATATCAACCGTAGAGATATCTGCCTTATCTCCAATATAATGGGACTGGATGGCACTGGGATTGTGATGCGCAAAGCACAAAAAAAAAGTGAAAAACTCAACAGCAATGTCTCTTTTCAGAAATCAAGACTTGGTTATTCAAGATAATCCAGAGACTTTGTTGTCAGCATTCTCATGTGAGAGCTATTTTCTTTCCTCTGAACTACATCCGCCAACCGCATCAGAAGGAAGCGCACGTCTACTCATAGACGAGAGGTTTGTGCTTGTGACAGTGTGAGCGCAATGGTGTCCTCCATAGATAAGCTGTTAACATTAGCTAGCTAAGTGGGGTTAGGTGAGCTAGCAGTGGATGCATGCTTCTTTCTACTTGGTGATACAGTTGCTGGGTGTAGTTTAGCAAAAGAAAATACATCCTACATTAAACTGCTCACAACAAGGTCTGTGGATTATCTTGAGTAACTGGATCATGATTTCTAGAAAGAGAGAGATTGTTGTTGAGTTTTTCAAACGTATTTTTGTGTTGTGTTGAGAGTGCAATCTAGTTCCATTATATTTAAGAGAAGGCAGACATCTCTGAAAAAATATGTATTTTTGATTTGGGGGTGAACTGTCCCTTTAAAGGAATCATCTGGCTCACGAGTTGAGTGCTCCGCATTGTTCAAGCTGTTTGCTAGCTTTGTCCGCTGCATGGTTAACATATGCTTCCTTTGGAGTTTTTTGCTAAAAAAAAAAAGCTGACAGCCATGTTAATGAGAGCAGTGGGAGTGTTGGGGGCTGTTTCTGTGAATGTGTTGCTAGATATGTTTGAAAATGGAGAGCGGTGTGAGTGGACAAATGGTTATAATGTCATAATGCCAATGCCATAATGGTTAGTGTGTATGTTTGATTTTGGTGTTGGAGTGTCTAAGGTTTTTGGAAGGTATGTTTTCTATATTGATACCAGGGCGTTTAAGTTTGATGATGCAGTTGTAAATATTAACCTTTTTTTAAAAAAAAATATGTGCAAATAATGGAGGAAAATTATTAAGAGAGAACTCCAAACTGTTAACAAGATGATGTAAAATCCAAATTATTTAAGTATGAAGCACTGTATTAATAAATTTCTAATGACATGTTTTAATGACACAAGGTTTCACTCCATAAAAAATGTTCACAATTTAAGGCCAAATAAAACGTTATTCATTCCATAAAAAAAAAGGACATTTTGTGAAAATCTAAAATTACAGAGCTTATATAAAAAAAAAAAACATCCTCAGCCATCACATTTATCCAAGCAAAGAGATGAGCATGACCACACCCATGAACTGTGTGAAGAGGATGAGTGGAGTGAAAAAGGACCACACAGGCCACAGAGCCATGTTGAAGCTGCAAAGAAAGTACAATGACACTTACAAATATGCATAACAGATTGATCAGTATTGATCAATTAACCAATACAATATTTATTGTATACAGGCATCTCATACACTGTCACGTTGTCACAATCTCTGCAGAGGAAGAATATGGGACGCTGTAAAATCTGGATCTGTAGCTGAAGCTGAACATTTCAGTTCTCTTTCTCGCTCTGCCATTGTTCTGCCTACTGTGTTCAATGGGGCTAGAGTTGTTCCAATACTGATACCAGTGTCAGTATAAAAAAAAAAAATCTCGGATTGGGTATCAGCAAGTATGCAATCTATGCACCATTCTGATACCATGTAATTCATTAAAAAACTTAACAGTAGTGTCAAATCCAGATAAAACAGCAGTTTTCCTGTAAATCAATTCTTCTCTGCCACTCAGCAGCCTACACAGGAAGTTGCACAGTGCACACACTGGAACCTACTGTTTTAGAGTGGTAAAGAATTGATTTCCAATAAAAGAGGAAGTTAGCAAACTGTTTTAAAAAAGGTTTAATGTGTGAAATGTCATACAACTATGACAGTAATCATTTCACATCCATACAGGGTTAGCAGCTGTATACAGCAGTTAACTTTTCTTCGTTTTTAAAGCAAAGGTATTGGATTGTTACACAGTACCCACCAAAACGCAAGTTTCTGGTAATGGAACTGGTATCAGTAGGGGAAAAATTCATAATGGAACATCTCTACTTGGCGCAAAGGCAACATTTATACTTTGCCACATTGATAGCTGCAATCAGATACAAGAATTGTACTTAAATTGTACTCTCTAACTTTATGGGTGTATTTGCTCTGTAATATCATTAGTGCAATATGTTTTGTGAATCTGACCTTCAGAGAGGGCAGATAGCTGTTGCAAGTGATGCACAATTCATGGTGCTCTCAGTTCAAGCTCATCATAGGCAGCATGCAAATTTACTAGTTTTGCATTTCAAAGTTTCACACTTTCTTCTAATTAGTGGCTCCCATCAGCCGTATAAGTGACACACATTCATATTAAAATTGATTCACAATTTTAAACATGGTGGATAAGCTAATCACATGATGAGGAAAGCTAAATGGCCAATCAATTAAAGAAACTGTTGAGAGACTCTCTGTGATGTCCCAGATCAATTAACTAGCATTAACTAGGTGTAAAGCATTAATGTACAAACTAATAAGGCAATTACAGTTCACTTATAATCACTTAATCTATTGGATTATTGCCCTACTGAAGCCCTCAACGTCCACACCCAGTGCCATAGGGATAAAATGAATAGGCGTTGCTAAAAATATGCAGTGTAAAGGTGCCACTTCACTATGAGAGGCCCTTTGAGACATAAGACACACCGCTATACTCTTACACAAACACTACTATACCCTCTTATATTTATCATCATGTTTTCTTTTATTTACTGTCATACTCTTAGTGTAACAGAGGATAATATTATATGTATGTAAGTATGATAGTATGAACATGAAAGTAACAGTATATGTAAAACAAAGTTCTAATATATGTATGAGAGAATAATATTATATTTGAAACAGAATAATATCATATGTAAGAGAAATGAGTTGTACATGTGAAGGCAAATAATCATGTGTAAGGAACAAAATGACAGTGAATGTAAAACAGAATGATAGGGTATGTGAATGAGAATAGTTGTTTGTGTGAGAGAGTTTGATTGAAACGGAAATAGTATTTAATTCTCAGTTCCTGATTGGTTATTTTTGATGAAGCGAGAAGAAGGTCCACCTTCCCAATCATAATATGACAAGATGGCGGACCGGGAATGACAGTGAAGCTTTTTTTTTTTTTTTTTTTTAAATTGAACACACAATAGAACAAAAACATAGAGAACCATACATCTTCTCGTAAGGACTATACATTTTTGTACAATGAAATGTTGCGAAATTGCAAAGAGTCACAAAGCAAAAATACAAATAAAACAAAAACAAGACTGGGGTTTTTAAATGGTGCAAGTAAAAAAAAAAACAGTAGCACATCATTTTATAGGTCACCAGGCATACAATTAAAGTAACAAAGACCCTAGGTAGGAGCAAAGTCTTAGGCATAAATCAAATAAGCAAGAAACTAGATATATCTCCACAGATCTTTCTGGCTATTTTGCTGGAGTACAATTTCTTAAGAGATAGGAAAAATAATTTGAAATCATTTATAAACTAGTCAAAGGAGGGTTTGCTATGTCTCCACTTACTACAATGAATATGATATTTACCCATTAGAATAATCATATTTATCACATCAGAGATATTAGATTTCAAATTATCTATGTAAAAGAATATATGAGAAATATCAAAACCTGGAATGTCATTTATTTTAAGTAATAACCAATTTCTTATTTCTGACCAAAATTTTCTGGACACAGGGCATGAGAAAAACATATGTTCTAGTGTTTCATCTGTTGTATTACAAAAGGTACAGGGGTCAACTTCAAATTTAAATCTTTTTTTTAGAAATTCTGCAACTGGGTAGACTTTATAGAGTATCTTAAAATGAGTTTCTTTAAGCTTTGGAGAAATAGGCCATTTAATATATTTAGAGTGTGCTTTTTCCATCATAGATACAGTTACCTTATCAGTCACTTGTTCTTTAAATCCTCTGTTGTAATCATAAAATACTATCAATTTCAAAGCAGCGCTAATCAATTTGTTGCTACATTTGTTATCATTTAAGTTACAATCATTAATCATCACTTGTACGAATTTAACATTCGAATATAATAGGGTATTCTGGATTAATTGAATCAGTGGTAAGGGGATTGCTTTACAAATCCTATTATTCTCTCTCTGAGAACAATTTATTTTATATTTTTCTAATCAAGTCCTGTAGTCCAAAAAACCTCCATCAGAATCCATTACATCCTTTACTAACAAAATGCCTTTCTCATACCAATCTCTTCTGAAAATCGATTTCCTGTTTACTGTGAACACTCTGTTATTCCATAAAATAGATTCATGAGGGGAGAAATTATGAGTAAATATCATTTTCCAGTATTGAAGAATCTGCTTGTGGAAATTAGATAGCTTAATAGGAACCTTATGCACCTCAAAATCACATTTTAAAAGGAATTCAAGCCCTCCTATTTTTTTAAACAAGGATCTCGGAATATGAAACCACATGGACAAATATGTTTTCAGCCATTTAGTCTTGAGAGTTCCAACCACTGAATCAAATTCTAAAGCTTTAATACCCCCATTCTCATATTCTTTAACTAACTGTGATCTTTTAATATAATGGGTTTTATTTTTCCATAAAAACTGAAAAATAATAGAATTGGCTTTTTTAATATTATTTGAAGAGACATACAGGGAGTGACGTGGATAAATTAATTTTGAGATACCTTCTGCTTTTGATAAAAATGACTCTACCAAAGATTGTAAGATCTCTGGTAAGCCAGCGACTTAGAGATCTCTTCATATCTGTTAAGCGATTAGCTATATTCTGATAACATTTTTAAATATCATTATTCCAAGATATTTTACTTCAGATGCAACTTTAATTGAAGCAATACTGGGATCTGTACATGTATGAATGAGAAGTAATTCACATTTCTTGATATTTAAGGATAGCCCTGAAGCTTTGGAGAATATAGAAATATTATTAAGAGCTTTCTCAACCACATATTTATTTTTTAAAACGATGGCTGTGTCATCCGCAAACTGACTTATTTTAAATTCCTTATCGAATACTGTAATACCTTCTATTTCCGGATTGTTCTTAATAAGCATTGTTAACAGATGAGTGGTCAAAATAAACAATTTCGGGGAGATTGGGCAGCCTTGACAAATACTACGTAGCACCTTGAACCTCGGGGTCATTCCAGGGTTCAATGAAACAGAACTATAAATGTTGGTATAAAACATGTTAGTAATATTACAAATTTTTTTACCAAAACCTATGAAGTGCAATGCTTCTAATAAAAAACAATGTTCCACGGTGTCAAAAGCCTTATAAAAATCAAGAAATAACACTAAACTATCAGTATCAATAAGGTCTTTATAATCAAGCATATCTAATATTGACCTGGTATGATTGTGTATAGTTTTACCTTTCAGAAAGGCTGACTGACATTCATCTATTATTTGCTTTAAACCCTCATTTAATCGGTTTGCATAAACATGTGCCAATAATTTGTAATCATTACACAATAAGGTTATCGGTCTCAAATTATCCAATAAAAGTACATCTTTGTTTGGATTTGGGATTAGAGAGATAAGACCCTGTTTCATTGTGGGAGAAAGATTGTTGGATTGAAATACATTCTATGTAGGCATTATAGAGCAACTCTCTAATATCTTTCCAAAAAAATTTAAAGAACTCGACAGTTAGACCATCTAGTCCTGGTGACTTCCCATTAGCCATCTGCATAACTGCTCTGTCTAGCCCTTCAATTTCAAGCTCATCCTCCATATATTTTTTGAAATCATCATCCATATTCTTATTTTGTTCTCTAATTTTATTTAAAAACTGAAGACAGTTTTCCTTAGAAAAAGTGGATTTATTCAAATTGCTATAAAAAAAACCTTTAATTTCCTCATTTACTTGGTCCTGATCTTCATTAATAACATCATTAATAAGCAACCTATGAATTTTCTTTTTTGTCTGTCTCTGTTTTTCCAAATTAAAAAAATAGGATGAATTTTTTTCCCCTTCCTTGGTCCAACGAGCTCTTGAAGGAATAAATGCTCCCTTCGCCTTATCCAAATACATATTATCTAGTTGAGATTGAAGACTGTTCAATTTAACATGCTCCTCCATTGTTAAATCCGTTCTACAACATAATTTGTTAATTTATTTTGTAATATTTTGCTGTTTTTTTTAATTTTAGAGGACACTTTACTTATCTTAACTGCAACCTGTCTAATTTTACATTTAAACCATTCCCACTTACTCGAGGCTGACATTTTCAGTGCAACAATTTCTTCAATTAGCTGTTTGACCTCTTCACAAAAATCTGTATTTTCCATAAGAATATTATTGAATTTCCAGATAGAATTGTGAATAGACACATTTTTCGATAAAGAGAAACACAACAAGATGACACAATGATCAGTTAAAGGTGATGCTGAGATTTCACACTTGGAGACATCATTAACTAAATTAACTGAGATTAACCAATAATCTATTCTTGAGCACTGGCCATTATTTGATGCATGCTCTGACGTATTACAAAAGTGGACGGAGATAAAACCGCGAGAGCGAGGCGGCCGCAGTTTTTAGAGCCAGGCTCTGCAGTTGCTCTCCACCGACTGCGCTGCCTGGCTCTCACCTGATCTAACAGCTGATTGGTTCAGATGTCGACTCAACAAGATGACGTTTTAGATAAACTACGCATTTTTGTTGAATTCTAGAGATTAAGATTGTATTTGTCTGACCTGAAGGTTTATTCTGTGAACAGAAAACATGTTGTGTGACTGATGGTGAAAACAAACTGATAAATGGGTCTGATCACTTTTTTAATGAACTGACATCATTCCAGGCAGGATGTAAGTGTGTCTGTGACTTCCTGTATGGACTGAAGGCTGCTGGAAACTGTCGGGAAACTGTCCGACTTCACTGCGGCTTTTTGTCACCGCCCCCCCGCTGCGGCCGCCTGCTCTCGTCTACTTTTCAGGTGAGGCGCAGTTCATCTCGAACGAGCCTAATGATAATGGATGTAAACATCAGCGCCAGCTTGACCGGTGGAGATGAGGAACAGAAGCTAATGCTGGTTGGATAAACCAGGGGGCAGCCAAGCCGCAGCAGAAACTAAAGGCAAATCCTGCCGGCTGTGGGTTGAACGCGGGGTCACAGACACAGACAGAAATACGTATTCCTGTCAAATACGGCGGCGCATGATAACGACTTACCGGCCGGCGACCGAGAAGCCCGACTCCAGGTCCAAGAAGTCTTTGTCGGTGTCATGACTGCCCAGAAATACTAGCCAAGCCCTGGCAGCACTCAGGTATGTGACGTGTCAGAGGAGAAGCGAGCAGTTCACATTTCCACAAACCTCAGCGCACTTTAGGGACTGTTCTTTACTTGTCAGAGGAGGAGGGTGGCTGGTTGATTTTTATTTTATTTATTTATTTTATTTTGATCCCCCCTTTGTTAATCACTTATTGATGCTGTTTTTGAAGTATGAATAAGTCAATAAGTAATTTATTCCATTGAAATATCATTGATGTATTATAGAAAAGTGATTTATCTTTTTATAAATGACAAATAGAGTGTGCAAACACAGAGAAATAGTCTGACATGCTGTCAGTGATAAGCTGCTAGTCATCACAGTCCATGATATCAACTAATAACAGGAGATGTCAGATTCTGCCCCTACATTGCATGTTATTATTTTATTCTGCTTTATGTTTATATTGTACAGTGTTATAATAAACTTTATTCCAGACTCAAGTCCATATAAGATACATACAAAAACACAGACAATACCATAAAAACACTTAAATTTTACTTAAAGTTCACTTCAGTTAAAGTTTAAAACTTCTTCTCATTTTTATATTGATCCCATCCAACAAAATGATGTTCATTCAGCAAGTCTTTTTTTGGTTCATGTCTAAAAATAAATACATTTGACATGTGATTTTGTTGTTGTTTGTCTTTTTATTTTATTTTTGCCAGTGCCATACATCTACATTGCTTGTGGATGTGTTCTTTTACAAATTTGAAAATACTGTAAGAATGTCACTTTTATAGAATTGGCTTCTTTATTTTATAATGTATGATTAATGTCTACATCAACAAATGTTAACCATAGAATCGTATCATTCCTACGCTACATCGAATCGTATCGAATCGTTCTGTATTAAAAATATATCATTTTTGAATCGTATCGTAACCCGTGTATCTAGATACGTATCGAATTGTCTATCACAGAGAGATTCCCAACCCTACTAATTTCTCTTACATATGATATTATTCTGTTTCAAATGTAATATTATTCTCTCATACATACATTAGAACTTTGTTTTACATATACTGTTACTTTCATGTTCATACTATCATACTTACATACATATAATATTATCCTCTGTTACACTAAGAGTATGACAGTAAATAAAAGAAAACATGATGATAAATATAAGAGGGTATAGTAGTGTTTGTGTGAGAGTATAGTGGTGTATGTATGAGAGTATGATTGTGCATGTAAGAGGGTATAGTAGTGTTTGTGTAAGAGTATAGTGGTGTATGTATGAGAGTATGATTGTGCATGTAAGAGGTTATAGTAGTGTTTGTGTGAGAGTATAGCGGTGTATGTATGAGAGTATGATTGTGCATGTAAGAGGATATAGTAGTGTTTGTGTAAGAGTATAGTGGTGTATGTATGAGAGTGTGATTGTGCATGTAAGAGGGTACAGTAGTGTTTGTGTGAGAGTATGATGTTACATGTGAAAAAAGTATGAAATATGTCTCAGGGGGCCTCTCATACTTCACACTGCATTAAGATGGAGACCTACAGAGATCACTCTTAACCTCATCAGTCTTTCCTGATCTTCACCGACATAAATGTGGTGGATAAATTTGCACAAGTATGAGTAGAGTGCTTTGTTGGTTGTAGATATCAGACCAGCAAATATTCCAAATACTGTACACTGTCAATGACTTGTCAAGCAAGTGCATCTTTTTAATGCCTCAGATCATCAAAATACAAGTATTTTGGCAGTTTTTTTACAACCCATTGTACCAAGAACATGGGTAATATTACTGAGCATTTCTTAAGTGATTCAACGTGTTAAAGGCCATAAACACCCACACAGGTGTGTTCAATATTTTGGCTTGTAAACAGGAAAGTGACACAAATTTCAATCAAGCACAGTCTGTATATGACCACAGTCCCAAAAAGGAGGTCTGATCAGGGAAACTGAGTGAAACACCTGTGAGGGTATACAATGGTTACAGACTATAAAGCTGTTTATGATATCTACAATTAAAGCTACAGTTGGTAATTTTTTTGTAAAAAACCCTTTTGCCATATTTGCTGAAACGGTCACTGCATCCTAACAGTCGTACACAAGACAGGTTATGTCATGTTCCTCTGCCTCCTCCTTGTGCTTCTAATATTATTGGCCAGATCCACAGCGGCCAAAGGAAAACAACCTATCAGAGGTGTGGAGCCTCTAAGGCAGCTGTTAATCGTGTCAATCACTGCTCTTGAACTGCAGTCAAACTGTCTGTCAAACTACCCATGCTGGACACAGTTGTGCAAAAATGAAGCATAGCCCAACAGCCGGACCAACTTTCTCATTTTACAGCTAAACAGTACACTAAAATATGTTTTTGAAAACATCTGAGGTGAGAAATAGGCAATGCAGTGACAGAATTTTGATTTATATTTGATCCACGCCGCCTAGTTTGACAGTTTGGCTTGACAGCTTTGTTAGAGACTCCTCAGCTCTGATTGGTTGTTTCCATTCAGCTGCAGTGGATTCTTGCAAATGCCATTAGGAGCACTAGAAGGGGGAAAATGATTTTTTTTTTTTTTTAAGATATGGTGACAGTTTGATCAAATATGACAAAAAAAGTTATTTTTATAAAAGTTACCAACACCAGATTTAATGGTTACCTAATTGGTTTCTAGTATCGCCAACTAAGAATCAAAATCAGCAGATTTCAGCAAAGAGCTACCTGTCCAGCACAAAGGAGCAGAGATCACTGGTACTATAGTACATTTGTTAATAAACCAGAAATACCCTACACCCCTGCCGACATACTTTTGCTCACGTCATTTTTATTAGTGTTACTGCAAAAACCGATATATTAGATAACAGTGTGCTTCCAACTTTGTAGCAACAGTTTTATGATGGCCCTTTTGTGTTTCAACATGATAGCTTTTTATTTTTGAGACTGATACCAAAATCCATATTTGAGATTTTATAATTTTATACACACACAT